ATCGAAGCTAAAAAAACAGATAGAAGGGTCAAAATGGGTAAGATTGCCAAAATTACAAAAAAAAAAAAAACGTTATAGTATGAAAATTAAGCGAAAACGTGAAGTTTGTTAAATAAAAAAACGCAATAATGATAGGATTAGAAAAAGAATAGCAAGACTTGATTATTACAAAAGAAAAGTTGATAATACAATTAATTTAAAAAATATGAGAAAACGATTAAAGGATAACGCATTTAAAGAGACTAACAGAAAAACAGCTCGTTTAAATATGAGAAAGTGATTGAATAACCTAGCAGTAAAAAAAGCAAATATAGAAGCTGCTAAAGTTAGCATGAAAAAAGACTAGAAGATCCTGAATTGCGAAAAGCCTATAAAAGTGTGAACAAAAGTCGAATGTTAAAGAGAAGGGCTCCTTCAGATAGTAGCTTGCAGTCAAGTCATAGAAAGCGNGTTCGTTTAAATATGAGAAAGCGATTGAATAACCCAGCAGTAAAAAAAGCAAATATAGAAGCTGCTAAAGTTAGCATGAAAAAAGACTAGAAGATCCTGAATTGCGAAAAGCCTATAAAAGTGCGAACAAAAGTCGAATGTTAAAGAGAAGGGCTCCTTCAGATAGTAGCTTGCAGTCAAGTCATAGAAAGCGTTCTTGTCATATATCTTCATATAGATTACGTGAACAGCAAAGACTAAATGCTGAAAGGCAAAAATGGGAAACGTTGCTGTCTGAGTTTAATTTAAGAAAAACACAAGGCTTATCGGAGACTTGTGTTTGTTGTCATCGTTTAAGATTACCTAGTAGCATGATAAATTGTCGAAATGAACTACTAAGACATCTTAATATAAATATTGTTCTAAATGATAACCAAANATATAGATTACATGAACAGCAAATACTAAATGCTGAAAGGCAAAAATGGGAAACGTTGCTGTCTGAGTTTAATGTAAGAAAAACACAAGGCTTATCAGAGACTTGTGTTTCTTGTCATCGTTTAAGATTACCTAGAGCATGATAAATTGTCGAAATGAACTACTAAGACATCTTAATATAAATATTGTTCTAAATGATAACCAAAGTGTATTCGCATGTAATAGTTGTTGTAATCACTTAAAAAAATCTAAAGTTCCACCATTATACACCGGAAATGGATTTGAATTGAATCATGTTCTACAGTCAGTTAAGGAGCTATAGTAACTCAAAAATAAAAGGAGAAAATTACTATGAAGATTTTTATTAATAATTAAAGGATAATTTATTAAAATTATTTATATTTGTTGGTATTATATGAGCATGAGAATAATTGAGTTACTATAATATTTATTGAATAAAGGAAATGGTATAATATAATTTTCTCTCGGGATATGAGTACGAGGGTATATGAGAAGATGTAAAATATAGAAAAGCAAAGTGATGTTTGAAAATTTATTAATATAATAATAATTTTAAATAGAAAATTATTGTGATTAATTATCACACATAGATCATCAACNGTTATTATATAAGCATGAGAATAGTTGAGTTACTATAATATTTATTGAATAATGGAAATGGTATAATATAATTTTCTCTCGGGATATGAGTATGAGAGTATATGAGAAGATGTAAAATATAGAAAAGCAAAGTGATGTTTGAAAATTTATTAATATAATAATAATTTTAAATAGAAAATTATTGTGATTAATTATCACACATAGATCATCAACAACGCCACTCATACCAGCAGTTATCTAGGCTTGTGCTGACTGTGAGTCGAGTCAATAAAAACCTCGAGTAGTATAGGAACCACAAGTGGGTTTTCTATCTTCGCAAGAGAGTCTTTATTAGTATTGACTACACAGGTAACCCACTCAAAGATTAGACTAGGCTGGTTAATTTCGTACAAACGTTATTGATTCTCTTTATTTATTTAGACAATATTTTATTCTAGAGATCACTTTACTTTTTCTGGTTTCCTACTTAATTTATGTACTCATTATATTTACTTTGAATATGAATTTACCTTAATGATTTCAGAACTAATGTTGAAAAAATGAATATACTTCAATTTTCTATGTAAAATCGTATTTTGTCAAGCCACTTCTTGCATTCGTTAAAAGTTCATAAGGTGAAGTAGTAGTGAGAGAGATTGACAGTTTTTATGCCCTTTTATATTAAATTTAATTCATCTATCTATGCAAGAAGTGTCACGACCTTTTACTATTATCTGTTTATTACTCANACGACCTTTTACTACAGATAAGTTAATTACTCAGTTTGTGTTATTTATTACATATTATTTTACTTAAAATAGATAATTTGTCACAACTAAAGAATTTCTTATAATTATTACAGTAGATTTATATCAATGTATTTTTAGACATATTTCTTGGAATAGTTTAAAGTATTAACATGAATAATATTTTTAATTTGATGACTAATAGGTAATAACATATATACTACTGAATAATGAGTAGTGTATGTATTATAACAGAGCTAAATCAAAATGCTGGTTATATTAGACCCTAGCTCTTGGAATAGGAGAATATTTTAAATAATTTGTGCTAAATGAAAAATAAAGAATTGAGCGATTGAAATTAAAGGAATATAGGCTAATAAATATAGAGCGTCTATAACACCAATAATGAATTTATATATAAAAGTAATATCTACAATCTCTTGCCTTAATACTAATGTGGGAAAGTTTAAAATTGATCTAATCGGCGAATAACAGTAGTAATTTATATCAATATTAAGATAATAAGCGACAAATTTTATAAATATTAAGAGCAGAATTTTTTTGCTAAAAAGGTAATTTGTAATTCACTAAAAACTAATCTTTTTTAAATAGATACTGATTTTTTTATAATGATATAGAAAATATTAATTTAAAAATGTCTTGAATATTGAAATACATTATTAATTTCATCTATATCCCATAAAAGTAAAATAATAATTAAAAAAAAATTCAAATGCTTCATCGAATTTTTGCAAATTATATAACCTACACAATTTAGGTCAACTCAAATAGACTTTTAATTTTATGCAAATTAATATTATAGTGTTTTGTTAGATTTGATCATTAAACTGATAGTAAATTATAAATTTAAACAAGTTATAATAATATCCCAATAAAATTTTAAAAATATGCTCTTTGGTTGTGAGTCTCAACTTGAGGGTATTTTTTAATTTTTCTGTTTAAATTAATAAATACATTTGAAACTATAAACAACACTTACCCTCGAAGTATTAAGGAACATCAGAATAAAAATAACAATGAGGCGTTGCATAGCCAAATGGAATGTTTTAGAGTGTACCTATTTATTTTTAATTGATTAAATGAATAAATTTGATTAGATTCGTTAGATGTATATCATTCACAATAAACAAAATGTTTTGAACAGTCAAGTTCTATTGAATTTATAGATTACACTGCTAAAATAAACCACAAAAAATGTACAGACGTGTCACAAATTATAGTAGCAAATTGATTGCCTTACATTTTTACCATAGCTAAATTCACCAACGTACGAATAGAAGCGCTATTTTATATACATATATGTATATAAAAAAAATTAAACAGCAAAATATATTTGTTTCTATTTGTTAGTAAACAATCGATGAAAATGTTATTATTTTTTTACAAAAAACCCAAAAAAAAAAGTATGCATGTAATATTAATTTTTTACACCACATTTTATCTCTATAACAGCACTATATACAGAACGATTCAATAAGGAAAACATTCATTTTCTTGGAAATGATGGAAAAGTTTTAATTTTCGTTAAGAAAAATTGGTCGATAGCTTTCGATAATTTATTTTTAAACAAAATAATATGTTGTTTATTAATAATGTGGACTATATTTTTATTGAGATTACTTGCACATTTTACAAAAGAATAAAAACTTTAGGTGCGTTGGACTTATTATTCGACGTCCGGTATACGAGTAACTCACAACAAAAAGGCCTACGCCATAACGCCCCCCACTTATTCAATAATAATCTAGATCTCGTTTTCCCAATATGGTATGTAGTTAAATAATTTTTTTTTATTTCTTCAGGTATAAATGGTAACCTTAATGGAGCATCTATTTATAGTTTAATATGATAAAAACAAAATTCTAACAATTTTCTTATTTTTTTATCTGATCAACCGTTGCGTTTTAAAATTATTTTAAGACTTGGTTTAAAATACAAATTCATCATTAATTTGGTTTTTATAATACCGGGGACAACAATAATCTGCTTCAATGGACCATAATTTATTTTTTTCACCGGACATTCAACAATGTATGATAGTAAAATTGCGTTAAATATTAGAGTATGCGTCTATTAATAGACATGAAATATTAAAGATGATATTTCTATACGATAGATATCATCGGGTTGCATCTGTGACAAATGATGACTAAGGCATTCTAAACAAGTATATTATCAATAGAAAATCGGTCAAAAATTATTAAATTTAATTAAACAAGCAATATTAGCAAATAATTTATAAGATAAAAAATATTATAAAAACAATATTTTTTTAAGTCATATAATCAAATTAAAAATTATTGTTTCCGTCAAAGAAAACTAAAGTTTAGCTATTTTGTCCTTGAAGAGGTAAAAAATATTATTTAACTATATATTACTGCTGAAATTTTTGGATCGAATAATATTTTCCTTTGCAAAAATTTAATATTTTTAATAGTTTCCGAAAAAAATGTTTGTTTTAAAAAAACTGACTGGATAATCAATATTTCGTTTGGTTATTATATATACTGGTTTGTCACGATATTATATCTAATTTTAACGTTTTAAATAAAAAAAATTTTGATTAAATTTATTTCTTGAGTTTAGTTAAGTATTTTGTATTGTCATAGATACGTATTAAAAATAACAAACTACAATATTTTTATTTTTACAAAAATTTGTGAGTTTCATTTTGAAAGCCACTTTTTTAGTGTTTAAATTATTTGTAAAAATCTTTATAGATAATTGAAAACTTAAAATTCATATTTTTGTATAAAACTTGCAGTAATGGATATCTCCATAAAAAACGAAAAACATTTTGAATCATTAAATCAAGGAAAAGATATTTCTTTGATTCGAAACTTAGCATTCCAATCCATCAATCAGATCTCATTACTTTGGAAAATGTGTGGACCTTTACGTATTTTGAACGATACATTGCCAATTATGTCAGACTCCAAATCAAAAATATCACCTACATTTGAACTATTTGAAAAAATTGGTAAGAAAGCATACATCATATAGACTAAGATTATTTTTTATTTAGTGAACAGTTTAAGTGAGCATTGCGAGTAATACATAAATTTGATTATTCTTTTTAATATTAACAATTACAAATATAGTTATACATTAAATTGTATTATTACACGCCATTTTATAAAAAAAAAGTATACTTAGACGTATCTAGAACAGTTTACAATAAGTAAATTAATGTTTCTCCGCCTTAAAATTTTTTTATATAGCATAGCATAATTTTATACTTTTAAAGGAGTTAATTTATCGTATGGGAAGGGTGAAAACCCCTATTTGCGATTTAACACGTATTATAAATTTATAACAATTTTAAGCACATAGAAATTAAAGTCACAAAATTTTTCAAAAATGAGTTCGCAGATATATTTTTACTGTAGATAAATATCTAATAGCAGGGTGAAACTGTGAACTTAATGAGAAAATCGAACTTCGCTCAAATTTAAAATGAAATAATTCATAACTAGAGTTCGATACTTAATACATTTAGAAAGTTGATTTTAGTTATACCGAATGAATCAACGTTACATAAATATTCGTTTTTGTTTTACTTAATCCTAATCAATGAATGATAAATATNAGTTAATTTTAGTTATACCGAATGAATCAACGTTACATAAATATTCGTTTTTGTTTTACTTAATCCTAATCAATGAATGATAAATAAGAACAATAATTCTTGTGATATTGTATATCTATAATAAATTTTCATGGAATTGAGTGTCTCAAAAGTGGTTCAGACAAATAATATATATGATTAAAGATCGGAACCCTAAATGTTAAATTATTTTTCAAAGGTAATAAGAAAAATTTAACAATCTAAATTTTTATCTGTTATTTTTTATTAAAAGATTAAGAATATAAGTATAAATAAAGTTGTTTTTTTTTTCTAAAAAACTAATTTTTATATAAAAATTTATAGTAACTACATTGTTTACAAAAAACACACATTTCTATGGGTAATAAGTAAATAAAAGTATATATATGTAATTAAATCATTTAATTAGAATAACAATCATGAGATAATGAATTGTAAAATAAATAAATTATGTGTAAAATAATAAAATTATATATTTAAAATAAAAAAATATTTCAATTGAACTTAAATTAGAGATTTTTTTGAAGTCAAATAAAATCTAACAAATCTAAAACATTTAATCTATATCAGCTATTTTTAAAACTTATAATCCTAGCATATGTGTCCGCAGATGATGAGTAACAAAGGGATAGTTATCTTACGCTTGATTTTTTATATAATCAATTTTTATAATCGCTGTATATTATAAAATTTTGTAAAATTTTATAATATAATAAGAAAAAAATTAATAGTGACACTCAATTTTATAAATAATATTACAATAATATCATTTATTTATAACATTTTTTCTGCAAGGCTCCCATTAAAATACCTAGACCGTTTTTTGACTGCCCACTAACTATATTCAGCGGACAGTAAACTATATATTTTAAAAAATGTCCTTGCATCCTAACACGACAAATAACAAATATATCTGTTTCAATATAGATCAAAACTCTACAATGTTTGCCGATCATATAGTAAAAAGTAAGGTATTCATTTGGGAAAGCAACATAATATGTTCGACAAAAGACTTGATGCTAAACGTCAAAACAAAAGAAAATAAAAGCATATCATTAAACAATTTGGAGCCAGAAGCACCAACTAAAGAGAATGTAGATAAAGATGACCAAGTGTCTGATACTCCCACTAAGAAGAATGTAAATATCTTTATAGATCTCAACTCTTACCCCAATTCAAAGCAAATGCAAGATGAAGGCTACACATTTTTTTGGGATGAATCATTACATGTTCCCAAAGATGGAAAAGTGTCTGATACTCCCATTAAAGAGGATGTAAATATTAATTTAGATCCCAACTCTTACCCCGATTCTAAGCAAATGCAAGATGAAGGCTACACATTTTTTTGGGATGAATCATTACATGTTCCCAAAGATGACCAAGTGTCTGATACTCCCATTAAAGAGGCTGTAAATATTAATTTAAATCCCAACTCTTACCCCTATTCTAAGCAAATTCAAGATGAAGGCTACACATTTTTTTGGGATGAATCATTACATGTTCCCAAAAATGAAAAAGTGCCTGATGCTTCCACTAAGAAGAATGTAAATATCTTTATAGATGCCAACTCTTACCCCGATTCAAAGCTAATGCGAGATGAAGGCTACACATTTTTTTGGGATGAATCATTACGTGTTCCCAAAGATGACCAAGTGTCTGATACTCCCATTAAAGAGGCTGTAAATATTAATTTAGATCCCAACTCTTACCCCGATTCTAAGCAAATGCAAGATGAAGGATACATATTTTCTTGGGATGAATCATTACATATTCCCAAAGATGGAAAAGTGCCTGATGCTTCCACTAAGAAGAATGTAAATATCTTTATAGATGCCAACTCTTACCCCGATTCAAAGCAAATGCGAGATGAAGGCTTTACATTTTTTTGGGATGAATCATTACATGTTCCCAAAGATGGAAAAGTGTCTGATACTCCCATTAAAGAAATGATGCTAAACGTTAAAACAAAAGAAAATAAAAGCATATCATTAAACAATTTGGATCCAGAAGCACCAACTAATGAGAATGTTGTCAATTATGACCAAGTGTCTGATACTCCCATTGAAAANTTATGACCAAGTGTCTGATACTCCCATTGAAAAGGATGTAAATATTAATTTAGATCCCAACTCTTTCCCCGAATCAAAGACTATAATAGGTGAGACAAAAGAATTGATGCTAAAGGCCAATACAAAAGAAAATAAAAGCATATCTTTAAACAATTTGGAGCCAGAAGCATCAACTAAGGAGAATGTTGCCAATGAGGGAAAATGCAAAAAAATATTGAGCTTTTCTGATAAATTTACAATAAATAGTAATTATAAAACTTTCTGACTGCATATTAATCTTAAAAATAACATTGTTTTAATTCTCATAAAATTTTCTATTTAATGATTCATTCTAGTCAACGAAGGAGTAATTTTGCAGAATAGCAGAAAAAATTCCCAACAAACTTTTTTTTTTTTTGTTTTAATTAGGCAATTGGTGGATTATTCCAAAAGCAACATCAACTCTTATTTCTTTAATTATATCATGATTAGTAGTTCTTTGATTTTAAAATATAATATATGAATATATACTAATTATAATTATTAAATTTAGTATGAAATTGATATTTAATATTGTAATTTAAACGGAGAAATTATAAAAATAATAAAGAAGTTATATTTTGCTTTACTTTTACGTGTATAAAAATTTAAAGGGCTTGATACAATAATTTTCAATAAAAACTGTTTGTTACTATAAAAAAATGCACTGGACTACAAGGAACTTTCATCAGAAGCAAAAATATACTTTTCTAAATCAAATTTTCGCGTTGTTTTCAAATCTGCAAGTAGACTATTTCTATCACTTCTAATTTTTTATATTATTACTAATTATATATATAAAATAATAATTAAAAGAAAAAAAAATTTGTTTTCAAATTATTACTGATTTGATTTTTAATATGTTAAAAATAATCAGTCCAAATTTTCAATTTTAACCTATTTTTTTGGTTCTTTAAAGTTGATGAAAAATTTTTGATAAAGATTTATGAAAGTTTATAGTAAAATAAATTGAATATATTACCATAACTTTTAGCTCAATTACAAGTTTAAAATTGACATCTAGGCCTGTCAACAAAGGAAAAATTGCGGAAAAAATTTTGTTTTTTTAAAAGTTGAATTAAAATATGTATAATGACATACTAATAGTCCTCAAGATTGGAATTGAGCTTTTTTTTTAAATCCTCGCAAAAGTTCAAAAATATGAGCTTTCTTAATTTTCTCAAAAAAAAATATTTAACTTACAAAAAAAAGTTTCGCACAAAAGTTGTTTAAAAGACAATTATAAATAAAAATATAATCTTATATTTTTTCATTTAAACAAATATTTTTCGAGTTACATTACATTTAATATGAGTAATAAAATTTATATTCCATTTTTTTCATTTTACGGTTACTTTTTATCATGTTATACTTACATTAGACACAATGTTATAAATGCATATGTGTGTATGTGTGAGTTTATTTATTTATTGTATCATTAAAGTGTAGTGTATATTGAGATACAACCGATAGAGTAGGTAATTGATTTGACGCTATATTATTTAAACCCAACTAAACGCTAAATTGTACATTCCGAAATAACAATCATATTATGTCAATTGCCACCGGAATATCTGGTAATATTTTTCTTTTTCTTTGCCTTAATCCCAACTACTTGGGGTCGGCCACCCTTATCCTAAGCTTCCACTTGACACGATCTCCCACATCTTCTACGCTCACATCAGCTGTCCTCAAATCGCATTCAATAGCATCCCTCCATCTCTTTTTTGGTCTTCCTCTATCTCTTCTTCCTTCAACATTAATTTCTATAACTGTTCTTACAGCTTCCGATTCTTCTCTCCTCATAACATGACTAAACAATCTAAGTCTAATTTCTGTCATCTTATCTACGATTGACGCAACACCTATACTTCCTCTTATATGCTCGTTCCATTTCTATTTTCTCTAGTCACTCCACTCATCCAACTAAGCATTCTCAACTCTGCTACGCTTATTCTCTGTTCTACATTCTTATCAACCGCCCAACACTATGAACTATACATCATAGCTGGCCTCACAATTTCATACTAAATTTAAAAACTATAATTAGTGTTTATTCATATATTATATTTTAAAATCAAAGAACTACTAATCAGGATATAATTAAAGAAATAAGAGTTCATGTTGCTTTTAAAATATTTCACCAATTTCTCTAAAGGAAACACTATCTACAGATTTGCATCGAAGCGTTTCTTATGATAGTGATTTTAATCACTGTCAGATATCATCTATACTTGTCCCATCTATGCCTCGTCCACACTGTGCCTCGACCCCACTGTGCTACCGTTTTTTTTTATATTAATCTACTATTAAATTTTTATCTTTTATATAGAGGTGAGCCTCATACGGATTCAGATCTTTGTACTTAAGAGACTTAACTGGAGAGCGTTATATTCAGCCTATTCAATTATTTTAACGTATTGCATTGCTGTAACTAGATTTATTTTAGCAGTCGCTTTTCTGAATTTATAAAAACAATATTATTATTGACGAGTGATGGAACTTAAGTTTTAATTTTACCGTGTCATTTTTACCATAGAGTTACTATATGATTTTTACACGTAAATAACAATGCAAATACAATAAAAATATCTACTGATCAGAAATTTGCAGGAAGTTGATTTTTTTGTAACATTAGAAAGTAAACTTATCACGAATAAGAGTTGACAGCATACATTCTATTCGAGGGCATCTAGACGGATTATCCGTCCTTTTAGTAGCTGATTTTTTAATAGACAATAAAAATAATTTAAATTTAAATAATTAATTCTCCAACAATTTCAATTATATCCAATGTTTCAACTGACCAGAACAAATTTTACTAATAGTTCCGTTCCGGAGCAAATGGCCGGAACGATTTTTAGGAAGAGTTCCGTTCCGGAGCAAACTCGGAACGGAACGAAATTTCACGTTCCGGAACAATATTTTTGTTCCGTTCCAAATCCCTGTTTAAAACATAAATTGAAGTGAAATTTGGAAGTTACAATTTTTATCATGATTCAGTTTTCGGCATATTCTTTTTTCCGCCTAACCATAAAATTGTAAACGTATTCCGTAACATTAATCCAAAATATTTATCAACCTGTCATTTTCTCAATTACATAATTTTCTTTTATACATTAGATAAATTTGTATGTTGCCATTTAAAAATATAATTTTGACATCTCTAAAAAATATACTGGATGAAAAAAAAAATTTTATATTTAGAGATACATATGCAGCTAACAAAAGCATAGCATTCACACAAATTTAATATTTTGAAAATATCGAGTGGCTGTTCTTAAAATAATTACTCTAAAAATAAAGTCAACTTTTTTTTTAAGTTGGTTAGACTATACGAACAGTACTCTTAATTATATAATTATATTGTCATCAAATGAATCAAGTGGTGCAGTTTAGCAACGTATACACTATGACTAAGAACCATTACATTATTATAAGTTTATTTAATATTACTAATATTTTAAAAATATTTCAATATGAAGTATAAAATTTACCAAAAAAAATTTTTTTTAATCACGTTAAAATATATAAAGTGTACATAAACCAACAATTATGACACTAAAATAGATTGCATATAAAGTATTTACGATTTAAATAAATCCTAAAAATTGAACATTACTGTAAAACAAATAATTGTTCACTTGAGAGGTATAAATTTATAGTTTTCAAGTACATTTTTTTATGTTTAGTACTGTGAAGTAAACGAATCTCATCTAAAAACTAACAAAAAATTAATATTAAAATTTTTTTTTTTGATAAATTTAACGTTTTATTTTTATTTCATAATAACAATTAAACTAGTTTCTGAATATTTTTACTGTAACAGATAAAAATGAACTATTATGGCAAATTACATATTATTTTACTAGAAATAATCATTTTAAATGTTATAATTGTTTATACAAATGATGAATTTAAACAGAATATTGAAAATCAAACATCTATAACTATTGACGATTTGAATATACTCATCAGAGAATATCCTGCATTTATACAGTTGAAGTTACAAAAACAAGATTATTACACAGGAAAAGATATAGCTCGATGTCCTATGCCTTACAACGAAAATACTATATTAGACGATCCCGATGTTGTGTCGTCTGAAATATTCAACCCAAGGGAATGTAAAAAACCTTGGACATGGACGCAAAAAAATGAAATAGATGTTCCTGTACCTATTAACGGTACCATTGGTAAAAAATTAGGAGAAATTATTCGACCGTGTCTTAAGAACAATACTAATATTATACAATGTTATACTCACTATCTGAATGTTATCGAAAGCGTTGGTTTAACATTAATAGACAGATTTTGTTTGTTTCAAATTGAAATTTGGGATAGAATTTCAGTAGTGATTGAAAATATAGATTATTCTGAAAAGTTTAGTTTGTTTAATATTAAAATTAATGGTCAACATCTTGCCTTGTTTTTAGCTAATTTTAAACTACTTTTAAAAAATATATATGTTGCATTTACACGGTATTATATTTCTACTCTTCCTCTTGACTGTATTGTGAATTTTAAGTGGAAAATATGTACTGATAAAAAAAATAAAGCATACTACCAAAAAATAGGAAGACAGTTATTAATTTGTCGAGAATTAATGAAATCAAAATTAAATTATGCTGTATTAGACAATGTTGAATTCTGGAAATGGGATATTATATCTGATTGCAAACTTGAAGACAGTATATTAATGACCATGCAATACAAAAGTGATAAACTAGGATTAAATCTATTTCCGGACAAGAAAATAGACAATAAATAATTGTAAATATAGTTTATTTTGTTAAATGTTTAATTTAAAAATATTATGACAGCAATGATTGTAGCAATAAAAATTGTTTTTTTAAATAAAATCAAATTTAAATTATTAAATTTAAATTCATATCATAGTGAAATGCTCTATTTATTTTAATGTATTTTCATTAATAAGTAATTAAATTCGAATATAATACACACATGAAAATGAATAAATTATTTAT